CTGGTCAGACAGCAGCATCATCCGCCTGGTCAGCGGACACAGGGCAAAGGTAAACCTCATAGAGACGACCTGCCGCGCTTCCTGAAGCAGGTTCGGATCGGTCTGTGGCCTAAACAAAACATCTTCATCACATGTTCTGCACAGAATGAGATTTTCACTCAGAATGAGCTGTAGAGCCTCTGTCACTTTGAATCCAAATAAGTTTCTGTTGGCCACGCCCCCCAACTCAATGTTTACACAGATTAGACAGCCACACATCTTTGAAAAGTATTAGTGGAGTCTCCTGCACAATCAACAAGAAAGCAGGAAGTGGTTTCTGGATGGTAAGTCAACAACAAAACACTTTGTCTTTTCCAGCAGCCATTGTACAGCTGTATGCATCTGGAAAACCAGCTGACCAGTCATGCTGGAGCTCAGCTTGTGTTGCTAGGTGACGGGGCTGGGCTCGGCTGGCATTAAACTTTAGCTTTTCACCAAAATATGGTTGCTTCTTTTAAGCACTTGGATTGTTTCATAAGCAGGAAATAGAAAAACTAAAACGTGCAGAAGGTCAGAGGTCATAGTTCAGGATTCGTGCCGCCAACATGACCCCGTCTCCCCGTTGACGCTCTGCTCCGCCGTTCAGGTCAACGACGTCGTCTTCAGCCACGACGAGAGCCGCTTCGCCACCTGCAGCCAGGACGGCAGCGTGAGGGTCTGGTCGACCGGCAGCTTGGAGCTGGTGGTCCAGTTCCAGGTCATCAACCAGGTGGGCGAACGTCAGCGGCTCGTTATGCAGCTGCTGTCAGGACACTCTGGCACATCAACAACTGGACAGAACAATAATCCTGAGCCAAAAGAGGATTTGGCTCATCGACTCTGCAGTAGTGAAAGTACATGAACAAGCACGAATACTCACATTTATATTTAAATATAAACATAGACTACAATCAATCATTTCACTCTTAACTTAAATAATTTCTGAAGTCAATATTTCTTACATTATTTCCAGTGTTTTTATATATACAATGTCTCAAAAATTTGTAAATATACCTTTGAACATGTAAATATACTTCACTACTTTTATTGTTTGCTTTTGTTTTATGTTTATTTTGTTTGTATGTGAACTTTACTCATTCCTTTTATTACACCACATTCAGTAAAGTCCAAGGTATTGCTTTGAATAAAAAGTCTATTAGTTGTTTCACGATACTTTATTTATGATTGCTTAATAATATATTTTTGTATCATAACTAATATGTCAGTGATTCTCCAGCAGAAAGAATTAAAACGCAGAGAAACAATACCTGGACAATAAATCAATAATAATATTGCGATAAACACGTGATCAATATCAATAAAACATCTGTGAGGACGTTCAGTAGGTTGCACTGAACTCGCTCTCTGTTCATTCTTCCATTGACCTTTGCCCCGTGTGCTGCTCAGGCCTGCGGCTGTCTGTCCTGGAGTCCGTTGTCCAGCAGCGACGGCTCGCGGATCGCCGCCGGCTACGGCGACGGGACGCTCCGGATCTTCCAGCTGACCTCCACTGAGATGGAGATGAAGCTGCGTCCTCATCAGGAAGCCATTACCGCCATCACTTACTCAGCCAGCGGTGAGAAAACGCTGCGTCACGCTCACTAACCACGGCCGACAGCGACCTGGACGCAGCGCTGTCCACACCCCGGCCCAGGAAGTCCTGGAGTCCTGGGAACTGAGTCCTTTTTGGTCGAATCGAACGAACGGATTCCTTTGTGACGGTTCTGTCTCTCCCTCAGGTCATGTGATCCTCTCAGCAGGAAGTAAGGGTCTGGTCGCCGTCAGCAGCCCGATCAGCGGCGTAACGATTCGAGTCATCAGGGATCACAAAGGGGCAGCGATCAACTCGATCCAGAGCGTCAGCGAACAGGTGAGAACTGGAACCAGTCTGACAGGTGAGAACTGGAACCAGTCTGACAGGTGAGAACTGGAACCAGTCTGACAGCGAACAGGTGAGAACTGGAACCAGTCTGACTCCATGATGGCGGGATCAAAGCAGAGCGACTTTTGGGTCGTTGCTAGGTAACCAAAGTTTGAAACTGCTGTTTACCTGACACGTTGTTGCTAGGCAACCGAAGAGCGAGCGAGGTGAAGCAAATGATCTGCGATGTTATATTGAACGTTAAATATTCTGATAAATATTGAACGTATCAGATGTGTTATCTGTTAGTAGTGGCTGTGTATCGATCGCAGTATAAGTTATTGATCTATTGTCTAATATTCACACTGTATGTAAATATCTGGCCTCTCTTCCCACATTTAAAGTTAAAACTGGTTTAACAAGCAGCGTTAAACTGTAAAAGCAGTTTATTGGTTTTGGACGTCAGCTGAACTCTGTTTCTCGTCGTCCTCAGTGTAAGCGGTTTGGACTGGAAGGAAACGAGATGGTCCTGGTTGCCGGCGCCGACAGACGGGTCAGCGTTTGGGCCACCAACTGGTTCAAGGAGAAGTGTGACCTGCTGGACTGGCTGTCGTTTCCCGCTCCGCCCAGCTCCGAAGTTCGGCTCCTGGTTTTATTTTAACTTCTTTTACTGATTCACTGAAACACATAATAACTGATTTTATTCATATTTTCACATTATTGATGATTAAAAATCCCAACAATTTGGACAGTTTAATTGTTTAAACATCATTAATTGAAATAAAAATTTATAACCATAAATAAAAACCCACCACTAACCTCTGGTTACTATCTGACAAACTGTTCCTTATAAAGGTTTATTACTCTTTAGACCTTCACATATTTTTAAAAGTAAATGTATGTAGAAATTTTAAGTCAGTGTTTGGTTTTCATTCTTAGTATTTATCTGTTTGGAGTGAACGTCAGCAGTGACAGGAGGCAGTTTCACATGTTTAGGTTGGATTCTTATTTTATTTCTGTAGTGTAAATAATCCCAATCTGTCACTCAACGTGTCAGGAGGACAGTTTGCCGCCCTGCCTGGCTGCTTTCTACCCAGCAGACCACAGCCTGCTGCTCTACACCGGCTACGGCCTGGAGAAAGAGCTGTCCTTCTACAGCCTGACTAAAAAACAAGTATCTCCCTTCACTTCCTGTCTCCCGTTGTTTTCCTCTGTCCAGATTGGGAGGAATAATCGTTAAACGTTTTGTTTTCTTCACCTCAGATCATTAAGAAGATTTCCCTGACCCACTGGGCCACGTGCATTAGCCTGTCTCCCAGGGGTCACCTGCTAGCTGTGGGGTGCAAAGGTGAGAACTGGTCACAAAGATGGCGACTCAAGTTTGGGACCATTACTGTCATAATAACCGTAGGCCAGCTCCAGCGTGATGTCACGCCTCTCCCTGTTGGAGGGCAAAAAGCTGCTGGCTAACGACGACTAGCATTGGTTTCAGCTGTTAAATTGTCAATATTTGCATAATACATAAAAGAAAAAAGGGTACAGTGCTTTGATACTAATTGTCAACACAATGAGAACTAAATGGCAAGATCAGGAAAATGTTTTAATTAAGAAAACACTGGCGAGGGAGAGGGAAGAAAGTCAGTTAAGCTAGCTTGACTATGACAACCGTAACATGTAGGTGTGCTGTGTTTCACCTGCATGTTACACAGCACACCTACTGCTGTGTAACATGTAGTTAAAAAATATAAAAACGGCGACATAAACTCCACCTCTGACTGATCATCAGCAGATCAGGTGTTTAAATGAGCTGATCAATCACCACTGTGTTCAGACGATCATTTATTAGTGACAGTGAAATAAACATCAAGCCTGAAAACATGAAACTAACGGACTGAATGTTCTGTTCTTTGTGTGGAAACGTTTTGAAGTGTTGAATCCTGAAACATAAAGTGGCGTCAGGTGTTATGGCAATGAGTGTGTGTGTAGCGAAAAGCCGACACAGCAAGAAAAAAGAAAAGGATGAATCGTTTCATCCCTAATGCCAGGAGTATCATGACTGATTAAAACTGTGAAATGATGAGATGGTTTTTCCTAGACTTGCTACAAAAAGCCTTTTGATGTGATGCCTGTCCTCCCATCAGAGCGAGTCCTGAAGCTCATCAAGTCGACCAGCGGACGGTTCCAGGACTTCCTGCAGCACAGCGACGCTCTGCAGACGTGCCGCTTCTCTCCGTCCGGGTCGCTTCTCTTCTCCACCGCGTACGACGAGGTTCTGCTCTGGGCAGTGCCGGGCCTCTGACCCAACCTGTACATTTATTTATCCGTTTATTGTTCCGGTTTTTATTGTTCCACAGACTTCTTAGATTTTTACGTGTACGGTTTTAAAAATAAAGCCTTTTTATGGGAGAGATTCTGCTGTGTGGCTCCTCAGTTTCAGTGTTCGGGTCTTTGGCTTAGAATCGTGGTTTCTGTGGAGACCAGCGCAGTTCATGACATGAAAGCAAATATTCTTGGAATAAACTGAGTGAATGTTCCTGCTGAAGCACAATCATCCATTAAATGCTTTAGAAACTGACAGCTGGCTGTTATTATGAGCCCAAACTGCATCTGCAGCATGTCAGCCATTTTTACAGAGGCAGCCCTGCAAATATATTCAGATTTTATTTCCTTACAACTGTCGACCTAAAGGTATTTAAATGGGCCTTTATGAGGGAGACCAAAAGGATCATGAAAATTCACAATTTTAGACAAATGACTGCTGGAAACTGGGGTTTTAACTTTGACACCCAAAAATAAAATGACAAAAAATTTAAGAAAAAAACAAAAACTACGGCTGCAACTAACGATTATTTTTAGTTATCAATTAATTGATTACATCAAAGATTAATCGGATAAACAAATTGCAACATTCTGCTGGTTTTTCATTTAAGCTTTGTTATTATAATTATAATTTCTTATTTGTCTACTTTTTGCTTTATCTACCAGTATTGCTACAGTTTTATCTAAATTTTTGGGTGGCCTCGTGTTACACATTCCCCTCCTGGGCGCCATATTGGATTGCGGTAACCACTTTGTCCAGCAGGGGTCGTAGTTCTGCGCACTCCACTTCGTGAACCGGAACAGTAAACGGGTTTCACCTTGGCTGAATATCGGCGTGAAAAGGCGCACGTTTGGGTCTATCTTAAAATTTTGACGTTCAAATGAAAGATAAATGTCTGCGTAGCAGTTCGGCTCGGCTAGCTCTTCTTCCCAGAGTGAGGAAACATGAAGCAAGACGTCAGGATACTTTTACTGGGGGAACGTAAGTCCAACTCTGACAGCTAACAAGCTACACGGCTAGCAAGCGTTAGCCGCAGCTGCTAACTAACTTTGGTTGTTCAGCTGCATCACTAAATATTCCTGAAACGGTTCCGCATTTAACCATAAAATTATGCTTTGGCAAATTTACTGTGTTTAATGTATTAATTTTCTAAATGGCAGCTTTATGAGTTTTAGCTTCAAAGTTTAAAATGATAGTTAAGCTGTTTGCAAACCTTCAATAATAATTAAAATAGATAAATTTGAAACGCAAATCAAATATTATATACATGTTAGTCATAGTTTAAGATTCAAACATTTTCTACTTTATCCTCCTCATTTGCATATTTCTCCTGGTTTGTTTACACCATTTTAATAACTGCAGTGTAACTTCCTGTGTTGTAAACGTGCAGTTTTGATATTTATACTTCAATTTGAACATGCACTGTGTCACTTTATTCTATGTTGACCTGTGATTTAATTTGTGAAAAATAATCTAATCAGACTAACAAAAGTATAAGGTTATTTTCTAATTCTGGATTTTCAAATAACAAAATATGAAACGAGTAACATAAGAGCAAAATAAACTTTTTAATAATCTTTCCAAATCAACATTTTTCATAATGAGCAGTTAAAGCAATACTTAAAGTATGGATATTAGAACAGAATAAATACCTCCAGTCACTATAAATATATCATGTTTACTGTATATTCACTTGACCTCCAAACTACAGCAGAATAACAAAGCTGGTGTATTAACAGGAGGTCTCACTTAAACGTAAACTGCTGGTTTGTATTTGGCGCATTTTGGGATAAAATGTGTTTTTTCTTCCTTCAGAAATATATAATTATATTTCTAATAGAATTTAATAAAGTGAATAACTTGTTGTTGCTTCAGATCACGTCTTACCTGTTCTGTTATTTGGGACTCACCGTTCTGCATGCTTTTATATATTGTATCTCCAAAATACATTGATCTATTGAAAATAAAAAACTTAAAGAAAAGTCACTTTAAAACAAACTCTTAGGCACATAGTCTACTTTTTGAGTTGAAATTATGCGAGAATACATTTCAAAAGAATATCCACAGGTATCCGCCATGTTTATTTCATATTGTATGGATCCATATTTCTACAATAATGTGAAGAGTTTTTAGGTTTTTTGAATGCGATGCTTCACTGTTTCTGCAGCCAAGGTGGGGAAGACGTCCCTCATCATGTCTCTGGTGGGAGAAGAGTTTCCAGAGCGGGTAAGTGTCACTGCTGCCAGGGTTTCACTTAATAATGCATATTTCTGACTAAATGCACCTAACGGACTTAATATTAATGAGCTCCAGTTCATCTTTAAGATGCATTTCTGGTTATTTTTAATAACTTATTTATTAATAAATCATAAAAACAGACATTGTAGCTCAATTGTTGTTTTTAAATGAAAAATAGCAAAAAATATATCAACTTTCAGTGGTTTTTGCCTTGACTTTCTTCCGTATTGATTTGAGTTGAACATCTCTTTGATTGAATGTTAGTGGAATAAATGTGAGAAAAATGTTTGTATTCCCAGTTTTCATTTTCTAAATGTTTTGTTCTTTTGTCCATCCATGAGCTAATTAATCAGTTTCCAATAAGGCTGAAATGATTGATTAATCGTCATTAATTATTAATTATGTTAGTTGTTGACAATTAATTGGACATAAAGGTTTCAAGTTTCCAATCTTTGCCTCAAAACTGCTAAAAAAACAAAATGGAGGGAAAACAGGAAAATCACAACAAGAGCCAGACTGTATTTCAGATATTTTAAACAAAAACGAATCAATAACTATTGATATTGACTGATCTGGTCTGAGAGGTCTGGCATAACGTTGTGACCTGAAACATTTGTCTGCTTTTATTTTGAAGGTTCCACCCAGAGCCGAGGAGATCACCATCCCAGCCGACGTGACTCCTGAGAAAGTTCCCACTCACATCGTGGATTACACCGGTACCGGACCAGCAGTGTTAGCTGCTGTTAGAATCAAAATTATCTTCTGAATGTCAATATTTCAAGTTTTGTTTGGTTTTCTGTTGTTTCCATCAGAAAAGGAACAAAGTGATGAAGTTCTCAGAGATGAAATTGTCAAGGTAAATTCACTGCGATCTATAGATAAATATTAGAAACACAAATGTTTACAAAAACAAAGCAGCAGCAGGAAATGTGTTTTTATGCACCAGAATACAAACAGGAAGTGATGCAATTATCCAATAATTAGCTGCGTTTTTATTACAAAAAAAAAACTGTTGACATTTTGCTAATGTCGACAAAACACGATTTTGCAGTTGTGGTGCTTCCATTAAATAAGAAAGATAATAAAAATTTGCACTTATTTAAGTTTGTGTATTTACAAAAGTCATCCTGTAATCACTTCCTGTCGTCTTCTCTGTCGTCTCCATCAGTAGTAACATCCATCCGGATGTGAAATTGATCAAGTCGAGTTCAGAGTTACATTTTTCATTTAGGCCATCAAAACTTTCCTGAGTTGAAATAAAAAATTTTTTTCTTTATTATTAATTTCAAGCTACTTTGATTTTTAGGGTTTATTTAAAAAGGTAAAACTGAAAACTGAGACTTTTAATTGTCGATTCAAACTTGTTTTGTGGTGTTGGAGTGAAAACACGTCAGCAGGATAAAATATCCCCAAAACACCAACAAAGGTTGTATTTACCACCTGTTGCTGGTCTCTTCCTGCTTGTTGGACGTTTTTAGCATCTTCAAACTCATGAGCCGCAATCTTGTTTTGCCCAACCTTCACAGGCCAATGTAGTTTGTGTGGTGTATGATGTCACCAACGAGGACACAATAGAGAAGGTAACCACCGGATAGTCCGGTTATATCAACCAGCATCACTTCATTCTGTTTATACTTTAACGGTTTCTTGTTTCCCAGATTAAAACCAAGTGGATTCCTCTAGTCAACGGAGATGCAGAGAAAGGAAACAAGTACGTGTCACAAAGGGAATTCATTCAACTTGGACTGCTGTTAGGAAAAGGGGCGGAGCTAGAGGGGAACACCCGGTGATGGACGGGTCGCTACAGCTAGCGTTGAAACATTAGCGCTCGACTAGAAGATGAAGACGGACATGATTTATGGCGATCGTTGCAGTTAGTTCCTGTTTAGACTCTTCTGCTGCTGCAGGATGATTTTAGAGAGAGGGAGGCGATTTTTTTATCTGATTAATCGTCAGAATTATTGACAGAAATCAAAAGAGTTCATTGATCCAAAGAGAAATTAAATGTTGCTGTAACTCATTAAGATTCTTCACAGAGGGACTTCAGACAGGAAGAATCTCCTGTAGCAGTCTGTATTACAGCGGTTCTGAAGAAGCCTCTGTTTTGAGTCACATGTAGAGCATCTGTTTCTGTATTAATAACATCATGGTGTCTGTCAGGGTTCCCATCATCCTGGTTGGGAACAAGTCCGACCTGCGCAGTGGGAGCTCCATGGAAACCATTCTTCCCATTATGAACCAGTTCTCTGAGATCGAGACGTGCGTTGAGGTGAAGCTGCTGCCGTCCTGCTCCGATATTCTGCTTTCACTGTCTTTCTGACGCCGAGCGTTTCTGTTTCTCTCCCAGTGTTCTGCGAAGAACCTGAAGAACATTTCCGAGCTGTTCTACTACGCCCAGAAGGCCGTTCTCCACCCCACCGCGCCGCTTTACGACCCCGAGGACAAACAGGTCTTTTTCTCCTGTCTGAGGTAAATGTTTCACATTGCAGAAGCTTCAACGGTTTGTTTGTTTCTCCTGCAGCTGAAGCCAGCTTGTGTTCGCGCTCTGAGCAGAATATTCTACATTTCTGACCAGGACAACGATCACATCCTGAGCGACGCCGAGCTCAACAGCTTCCAGGTTCACAACCACTTTCAGCTTCTGCAGCAAATTTATCATTACATGGAGGAAACACGTGTCTGACTCAGAGCTATTCAATAACTGCCCAGCTGTTGTTTTATGCTACGATTTGAACTCTTCCATTTAGAAGTCGTGTTTTGGGAATCCTCTGGCGCCTCAGGCTCTGGAGGATGTGAAGACTGTGGTGTGGAAAAACACCAGCGACGGGGTGCAAGACAACGGCCTGACCCTGAACGGTAGGAAGCTTCACATCCAGGTTGTTGCTTCTCTGGCGGCGTCATTTACATTCACGGTTTCTGTGTTTCAGGTTTTCTGTTTCTGAACACTTTGTTCATCCAAAGAGGCCGACATGAAACCACCTGGACGATCCTCAGGAAGTTTGGTTACGACGACAACCTGGAGCTGACTGACGACTACCTGTACCCCGAGTTAGTGCAGTTAATACGTTTATTATCATTGGTTTTCTGAAGATTTTATGGCTTGACAGATTTCTGTCATCATTTCAAATTTCCGTTTGAATGTTTCTATTGTATAAATTGATCAGTTTTATGTGTTTCCAGACTCAGAGTTCCTCTCGGCTGCAGCACAGAGATCAACCAGTTGGGCCACCAGTTCCTCCAGCAGCTGTTTGATAAATACGACGAGGCGAGTCCCAGTCACAGGAAGGTCGGCCGGTAAAGATGGGCGCGTTTTGCTGAGTCGGCTGTTTTTCTGCTCAGGATCAGGACTCCGCCCTGTCGCCAGCGGAGCTGAAGAACCTGTTCTGCGTCTGTCCCTACATGCCGTGGGGCGCCGACGTCCTGCTGGCCGTGCCGACCACCGACCGGGGTTACATCACCCGCCAGGGATACCACTGCCAGTGGATGTAGGTGACCGAAACGCGAAGCCGAGTTCCTGCAGCAGGACGCTCTGCTTATTTCCTGATTCCAGATTATCAGGACGAATCTTTACGATAATCTGCTGCGCTAAAATCGTCCTCAAGTAGAAGTAAAACGACCTCAACATGTTTTTACTGAAGAACAACTAAAAGTTACTGTCCTATAAATTATCATCAGATAATCAATATAAAAAAGAACCAATAATTCATAAAAATAACAAAATCAGACAAAAGATAAATTTTGCAAATCACTTTTTCATTATAAGAACTTTAAAACTTTACCTGAACCTGCAGGTGAGTCTGTTTTTCATTCAGTGGGGAGAAAATTTTACTCCAGTAAGAGTAGAAAGTAAAAATACTCCTAAGAGTCCATTGTTTCAAAAAGTTACTCCTGTAAATGTAACTAGTTACTCCCGGTTCTGGTGCTGACTCATCGGGTCGGGTTGCCGGCGCCGCTAATTTTGAGTGAAAAGGTTTGGATTGAACCTGCTTCACCGAAGGGTTGCTGGTTCACATCCTGCCGTGTGAACGAGCGTCAGCCGCTCTTTTCTCTCCGGCTGAATCTTTAGCTTGTGCTTTCAGGCTCTCTGCTTACCTGGACGTCCATCGCTGCCTGGAGCACCTGGGTTACCTGGGATACCCGATCCTGACGGAGCAGGAGTCGCAGACCGCAGCCGTCACAGGTGAGACGCACCTGCTGGGCAGCAACCGCTGCAGCAACCGCTGCATTTACTTCAGTAACGTTTTTCAGAATATATACTTTTATAATTATTTTTACTTCATTCTTTTATTTGAGATATTTTATTATAAAGTAAGTCTACTTTTTAGTAAAACAAACATGTTTTAAATATTAAATGATTCATTATTACTCAGCACTTTTTACCAAAAAATTTTTTATTCTTAACTGAGTCGTTTCTTGGCTCCTTTTACTTTAGTATCATGTTTGGTTCTTTAGTATCATGATTGGTTCTTTAGTATCATGTTTGGTTCTTTAGTATCATGTTTGGTACTTTAGTATCATGTTTGGTTCTTTAGTATCATGGGTACTTTAGTATCATGTTTGGTACTTTAGTATCATGTTTGGTACTTTAGTATCATGTTTGGTACTTTAGTATCATGTTTGGTACTTTAGTATCATGTTTGGTACTTTAGTATCATGATTGGTACTTTAGTATCATGTTTGGTTCTTTAGTATCATGTTTGGTACTTTAGTATCATGTTTGGTACTTTAGTATCATGATTGGTACTTTAGTATCATGTTTGGTTCTTTAGTATCATGTTTGGTACTTTAGTATCATGTTTGGTACTTTAGTATCATGATTGGTACTTTAGTATCATGTTTGATTCTTTAGTATCATGTTTGTTTCTTTAGTATCATGATTGGTACTTTAGTATCATGTTTGGTTCTTTAGTATCATGTTTGGTACTTTAGTATCATGTTTGGTACTTTAGTATCATGTTTGGTTCTTTAGTATCATGTTTGGTACTTTAGTCATGTTTGGTACTTTAGTATCATGTTTGGTACTTTAGTATCATGTTTGGTTCTTTAGTATCACGTTTGGTTCTTTAGTATCATGTTTGGTACTTTAGTATCATGTTTGGTACTTTAGTATCATGATTGGTTCTTTAGTATCATGTTTGGTACTTTAGTATCATGATTGGTTCTTTAGTATCATGTTTGGTTCTTTAGTATCATGTTTGGTACTTTAGTATCATGTTTGGTACTTTAGTATCATGTTTGGTACTTTAGTATCATGTTTGGTTCTTTAGTATCATGTTTGGTACTTTAGTATCATGTTTGGTACTTTAGTATCATGTTTGGTACTTTAGTATCATGTTTGGTACTTTAGTATCATGTTTGGTTCTTTAGTATCATGTTTGGTTCTTTAGTATCATGATTGGTTCTTTAGTATTATGTTTTGTACTTTAGTATCATGATTGGTTCTTTAGTATCATGTTTGGTACTTTAGTATCATGATTGGTTCTTTAGTATCATGTTTGGTTCTTTAGTATCATGTTTGGTACTTTAGTATCATGTTTGGTTCTTTAGTATCATGATTGGTACTTTAGTATCATGTTTGGTACTTTAGTATCATGTTTGGTACTTTAGTATCATGATTGGTACTTTAGTATCATGTTTGGTACTTTAGTATCATGTTTGGTACTTTAGTATCATGTTTGGTACTTTAGTATCATGTTTGGTACTTTAGTATCATGTTTGGTACTTTAGTATCATGTTTGGTACTTTAGTATCATGTTTGGTACTTTAGTATCATGATTGGTTCTTTAGTATCATGTTTGGTACTTTAGTATCATGATTGGTACTTTAGTATCATGTTTGGTACTTTAGTATCATGTTTGGTACTTTAGTATCATGTTTGGTTCTTTAGTATCATGTTTGGTACTTTAGTATCATGTTTGGTACTTTAGTATCATGTTTGGTACTTTAGTATCATGTTTGGTTCTTTAGTATCATGTTTGGTACTTTAGTATCATGTTTGGTACTTTAGTATCATGTTTGGTACTTTAGTATCATGTTTGGTACTTTAGTATCATGTTTGGTTCTTTAGTATCATGTTTGGTACTTTAGTATCATGTTTGGTTCTTTAGTATCATGTTTGGTACTTTAGTATCATGTTTGATTCTTTAGTATCATGTTTGGTACTTTAGTATCATGTTTGGTACTTTAGTATCATGTTTGGTTCTTTAGTATCATGATTGGTTCTTTAGTATCATGTTTGGTTCTTTAGTATCATGTTTGGTACTTTAGTATCATGTTTGGTTCTTTAGTATCATGTTTGGTACTTTAGTATCATGTTTGGTTCTTTAGTATCATGTTTGGTACTTTAGTATCATGTTTGGTTCTTTAGTATCATGTTTGGTACTTTAGTATCATGTTTGGTACTTTAGTATCATGTTTGGTACTTTAGTATCATGTTTGGTACTTTAGTATCATGTTTGGTACTTTAGTATCATGTTTGGTTCTTTAGTATCATGTTTGGTACTTTAGTATCATGTTTGGTACTTTAGTATCATGTTTGGTTCTTTAGTATCATGTTTGGTTCTTTAGTATCATGTTTGGTACTTTAGTATCATGTTTGGTTCTTTAGTATCATGTTTGGTACTTTAGTATCATTTGGTACTTTAGTATCATGTTTGATTCTTTAGTATCATGTTTGGTACTTTAGTATCATGTTTGATTCTTTAGTATCATGTTTGATTCTTTAGTATCATGTTTGGTACTTTAGTATCATGTTTGATTCTTTAGTATCATGTTTGGTACTTTAGTATCATGTTTGGTACTTTAGTATCATGTTTGGTACTTTAGTATCATGTTTGGTACTTTAGTATCATGTTTGTTTCTTTAGTATCATGTTTGGTTCTTTAGTATCATGTTTGGTACTTTAGTATCATGTTTGGTACTTTAGTATCATGTTTGGTACTTTAGTATCATGTTTGGTTCTTTAGTATCATGTTTGGTTCTTTAGTATCATGTTTGGTACTTTAGTATCATGTTTGGTACTTTAGTATCATGTTTGGTTCTTTAGTATCATGTTTGGTACTTTAGTATCATGATTGGTACTTTAGTATCATGATTGGTTCTTTAGTATCATGTTTGGTTCTTTAGTATCATGTTTGGTACTTTAGTATCATGTTTGGTTCTTTAGTATCATGTTTGGTACTTTAGTATCATGTTTGGTACTTTAGTATCATGTTTGGTACTTTAGTATCATGTTTGATTTTTTAGTATGATGTTTGATTCTTTAGTATCATGTTTGGTACTTTAGTATCATGTTTGGTACTTTAGTATCATGTTTGGTACTTTAGTATCATGTTTGGTACTTTAGTATCATGTTTGGTACTTTAGTATCATGTTTGGTTCTTTAGTATCATGATTGGTTCTTTAGTATCATGTTTGGTTCTTTAGTATCATGTTTGGTTCTTTAGTATCATGTTTGGTACTTTAGTATCATGTTTGGTACTTTAGTATCATGATTGGTTCTTTAGTATCATGTTTGGTTCTTTAGTATCATGTTTGGTACTTTAGTATCATGATTGGTTCTTTAGTATCATGTTTGGTTCTTTAGTATCATGTTTGGTACTTTAGTATCATGTTTGGTTCTTTAGTATCATGTTTGGTACTTTAGTATCATGTTTGGTTCTTTAGTATCATGTTTGGTACTTTAGTATCATGTTTGGTACTTTAGTATCATGTTTGGTTCTTTAGTATCATGTTTGGTACTTTAGTATCATGTTTGGTTCTTTAGTATCATGTTTGGTTCTTTAGTATCATGTTTGGTTCTTTAGTATCATGTTTGGTACTTTAGTATCATGTTTGGTACTTTAGTATCATGATTGGTTCTTTAGTATCATGTTTGGTACTTTAGTATCATGTTTGGTACTTTAGTATCATGTTTGGTACTTTAGTATCATGTTGGTACTTTAGTATGATGTTTGGTACTTTAGTATCATGTTTGGTACTTTAGTATCATGTTTGGTTCTTTAGTATCATGTTTGGTACTTTAGTATCATGTTTGGTACTTTAGTATCATGTTTGGTTCTTTAGTATCATGTTTGGTACTTTACTCGTCTGTTTCAGTTTAACTCAGTTTGGAGGAATTGTTAGGATTCAATCACAGTTTAGTAATAAAGTTCAATGTGACGTTTGATTAAAAACAAAATTTGGAAAGAATTATTTGCATATAATCGTTGGTTGAAACTGTCTTTTTTTAATTAATTTGTTTTTATCTCCAAAGTTAGAATTTTTAAAGAACGAAAGAAATTCTAATCTGTGCCCCTTAATTTTTAAATATTTTAAATCTTAATCAATGTTGAGGTTTCAAACCTATGTTTGCTTTATGTTTTTGGATGCAGTGACTCGGGAGAAGGAAGTGGATTTGGAGAAGCGTCAGACTCAGAGGTCGGCGTTTCTCTGCAAGGTGATCGGACCGCGCGGCACCGGGAAGACCGCCTTCCTCCAGGCGTTCGTGGGCCGCAGCGTTCTGGTTCGTCGCCATCTGAAAAAATAAACGGTGGGAAATTAAAACCCGTTTCTTGCTGTAAACCTTCATTTTCTGGTTTTTATCTCTCAGAGTAAAGGAAACGCCAGCAGTGCCTTTTCACCCTATGTCATAAATACAGTTCAGATCGGCAACCAGGAGAAATACCTGATTGTAAGTATCAGACCTGCTGCCCTTTGACCTCTGACCCCAGCCTGAACGGCCTCCCTCCCGTCCTTCCTGTGCAGCTGAACGAGGTGGATGTGGAAACGGAGTTCCTCAAGGCGTCGGACGCCGCCTGCGACGTTGCTTGTCTCATGTACGACGCCAGCGATCCCCATTCCTTCGACTACTGCGCCAGCATCTACAAGGTCGGTGTCGAGGTCAAGGCCGCAGCGGTGAAAGGTCGATGTCCAGGTGTTTCTGCCTGGTTTCTGGGTTCATCTTAGTAAGATTAGAAAGATCAAACAAACTAAAGTTATGCTTTAATGAGTTTATGGGTTTCAGTTAGCGCATTAGCTTTAGCATCCTTATCGGTGTTAGTTAGTGCCATTAGCTTTATCCGCATTACTGTTATGAGCTCAATACCTGTTGGTATCAGCAGCTTTAGCGTTACTCCCATTAGCATTTTTAGCATTATCGCCTTTAGCATTATCAGGGTTGGCTTTATTGGAGTTAGCATTATCGGCCTCAGCATTATTGGCCTTCGCAAGATCTGATTGGCTTTAGCGCTATCGACATTAGCATTACCGACATTAGCGCTATTGGCATTAGCGTTATCTACATTAGCGCTATTAGCACTAGCGCTATTGGCATTAGCGTTATCTGTGTCTGCAGACGTTAGTAGATTTTTACACGTCAATCTGATCAGTCAAGCCGAGTCGATTTTAATAACCGATGTTGGTTTCTGTCTTGTTGCCTTTTTGCTTCTTTCCTTTGTTTCTGTCTTCATTGTCAACTCCAGTATTTCCTCATTTCAAATTAATTTGAAGATCTGTTTATAGTTGTGTCTGGAATAATCTGAAAGTTCAACATGGAAAATCTAGAATCTCTGACTTTAATTCAAAAATCATTTTAAAAATCTTTATTTTATTGTGATTGAGACTCAGCAACATTTCCAGCAGAAATGCTGCATTAAATAAAACATAGAGTCAGTCAGACGATAGAAACCGAATTTATTTTGCTCCTCACAGGAGCAGCAGGTCAACTGACTGAAGTTTCTCTGTGTCCTCCATGTTTAGCAGCATTACATGGACGGCAGCGTTCCCTGCGTTCTGGTCGCCTCCAAAGCGGACCTTCCTGAAGCCAAGCAGTTCCACGGCGTGACGCCGGCCGAGTTCTGCTACAAGCACCGCCTGCCGCCGCCGCTGCCGTTCTGCGGCCTGACGCTGGACGCCGCCGGCAGGAGCATCTACAGCAGGCTGGCCTGGGCCGCCATGCACCCGTACGTATCAGAACCAACACCAGAACCAACACCAGAACCAACATGAAATAATTTCAATTTTGGGGTCAATAATGTATTTTTGAATGTGGATTTGAATTATGCAAGACAACAGGGATGGGTGATAAGTAGGTTTAATTAATCCAACTTTTTATTTTATTTAATTCTTGTAAAATCTTTATTTTTCCCATGATGCATTTGTTGGGTTTCAGAGTGATGTCAGGGCGGCCATCTTGTTTTACTGCTTTTATTTATTTGGACTTGACATCAGGTGAACTCCATGACGTTTAGAGCCAGGCTGCAGTTTTTTATTTTAACCATTAGAGGAAACTTATTAAGCCAACAGGATGAAGTCCTACTGATTCGAGGAAGAGTTTTAGAATGAGAAAAAAAAAGTGAATAAAATCACAATAATTCAGGAAAATGTTGTAAAAATATGACAATAAATTTTGTAAAAATACGACTAAAGTGGTAATAATACAAGAAAACATTCAATAATATGAGAGGTCGTAATGAAAAGTTAGAATAATAAAAAATTAGAATGAAGTTATACTATTTCTTTTACAAATAAGAAAACCTTATTATGTTAATAATGTTTTAACACATCAGAAACAGATCATCTCCATGTTATTCAGGTAAAATTCTCCTTGTTCTGATAACATTGTGACTACATTCTCACAGTTAAAGAGATTCTTGTAGCCTGCGCCTCAAACTCCAAATAACATCCAGTTTTAAATATTTCCTGTCATTTTTATTTAATTATTTTAGTAAAAAAAATGGAAAAAAACATTTATATCAGCCCTGGTCTGAAAGCCATTCCGGTATTTTTCATCCGTCTCGATGGAAACCGTTTGTTTCTTTGTTTTTCACGGCTGTGTTTTGTTTTGCAGCCACCTGAACGGGTCGGACCTGAGCAGCGCCTCCTTCTGGCTGCGGGTGGCTCTGGGCTCGGCCGTGGTCGCCGTTCTGGGTTTCGCCGTCTACAGAGCCGTGGCTCGGCTAAAATGACCCAACGATTATCTGCGTCCGTCACGACCAAACCCGGAGGCCGAACTGTTCTCCATCTGTCCTGCTCTCTGTCTGACCTCTGACCTGTGCCGGAGGTTCCTCCCCCCGCTGCTGCTGCCTTACGCTCCACCGGGCTGCGTTGGAGCGAGCCTGAAGAGCAGCTCGTCCTCCTGAACACCACGGTGCTTTCACCAGGAAGACGTCCGCCTCCTGCTGCCGTCAGGAGATCCGACTTACAGATCATGTTCTGCATGCAAGCAGCGCCTGCAAACCAAAATGATGCCAAATTATTCCGAATCAAAGAGCTGGACGTTCAGACCGGCTCTACAAAACCTCATGAAGTCCTGATGCGGTTGCCAAATAACTGGTTTTACCCCAAACAGGAAGATTTAGCTTCACAAATCATTCACCGCCGTTTAAATCCTCTGATCCTGAAGTTGCTTCTGTTGCATGAAGACATTTGCTTTTTCTGAGGAAATGGACTGTTTTGATTTTAACAGTGTTTGTGACGAAGTGATCAGGAGGCAGACAGGAAAAATGAGTTCATTTCAGCCCAAAACAATTTATTTTTCTAGAAAATTTCTGCTCAAATCACTCTTGAAAATGAAATATGGATCTAAATGGGACTTTACCTGGTCAAAGGGAAGTAAAGTAAAATTCTCAGTTTGAAAAGTAAACATTTCAAGAAAAAATTAATCTCAGAAATATTCTAGAAAAAAAATTTTAGCTTCAAAAGTCAAAATTTTTCACCTTTTGGAGTTTTCTTCTAGCAAATATCTGAGTTTTCAAATCATATTTTTAGAAAAAATCTCTAGAAAAAAGGTGGAAATTTCTGATTTTGAAAAGGCGAAAAATTGCTGGAGAAAATTCAAAAATTTTGAGATCAATCTCAGAATTTTTGTATTAAAAAATATGAAATTTTTATTTGAAAACTACCAAATTTGTTATAAAAAATCAAAGATTTTAAAAAGAAACATGAAAACTTCCAAAATGTCTGTTTTTTCCGGGACGTTTCTGAGATAAATCTCATTCCTGAGGTTTTATTTGACATTTTATGGCCTTTCTAAGGGATGTTCATTGTTTTATCTACATCATCGCGCCGTTGAGTCTGAATGACTGAAGGAATCATGCTGGGAGTTTCTGCCTCCAGTTTCGTCTCTTCCAGGTTGTTTTAATGAGCCTGACGCTGCTGCTCTGCGCCTGACTGACCCAGTTCCTGCTGCCCAACACCAATCGGTTGGGATGGTTCTGCAGGAAACATTTCTGTGACATTTCAAAAACTGTTTTCTTACTGAAAGTGAACAGATCCAGATGCTTAATAAAAGACCAGAGTTGGTGCAACGAGTCGCGTTTTACTACGGTTCAAAATGTCCCAAAATCTAAAAAAATAGAAACAAATCTGCCGGCTTCTATTTAGTAACTGCGCGGGACGTCCTGACGTCCTCACGCAGGCGGGACGTCCTGACGTCCTCACGCAGGCGGGACGGGACGTCCGCATCAAAGCACCAAAACTACAGGAAAGAAACTGAATTCAACCGGCCCGCCTCGTTAAAGGCAAACATTTGGACAAGTTTTATTCTTTTACCGACTTTGACATGAACTTCACTAGGTTCAAAATTTGCAAAATGAAATTTGAAAACTTCGGGAACACCAAAAATACGCTAAGCTAAGCTACATGGAGCTTAAGGTACAGAAGACTGTCCAAAGTCATGTGTGATTGGTCAGAAGTTTAAATCTGTGTTTATTTAAAAATATGTTACGGGGTATTAAGGCCAGACTAAGATAATTTTATGGAACTAAAGACACAATATTACTAGAAGAAAATTACTGTAAAATCTTAGTTATGTAAATTTGACTGCACTTCTGCTATTTGAGTTAAGATTCTCTTATTTATAACCAAATTAACATTTCTCAACATCCCTCATCTTCATTTTTATGTGGGAGTAACAAAATTATTACTTCATTCTACTAACGTTGCGACTTTATTCAGATATTTATTCTTGTTCAATCTTTAACTTTATTTCATGAGTATTTTGATGAGTTTCCGTCAAAAAACTTTCTAATGTTACGACTTCATTCTCATATTTTTTTCTCATTGTGATTTGATTTTTCATAGTTTATTTTCGTGTATTTGTAACTTTCTGTTGAATGACTTTGTTCTGATAATGTTATGTAGAATGACGTGTTTGGGTCAGTTTCTGTCGAAAAACAAAAGAAATTTTTAGATTTAATCTCAGAAATGTCCAAGTCTTTTATAGAAAATTTCAAAAATAATTTAAAACTAAATTTGAAAACATAAAAGGAACACTAGGCTCTAAAAAATCTGAATCCTCAGCCTCAGATATTAAAGTTGTTTTGAAGGAAAAAGGCACCAATTGTGAAATAGTTTTGTTTTAAGAGCTTTCATTGACTTAAACATGGACATTTTGTGTTGAATAAGTAATTTTGTGGCATTTAACATTTCTCTAATCATTAGAACTGTTTTTAAAGTTTCTCCTCAGGTTTTATTTATTTTTTAGGAGCCATTCACAGTTAGATCGTCTAACTATAGTATTTTTAACACTGACTTGTGTCTATGTGCCTCTTGTTTTTCTCTCCGCTACCACAAGGTGGCAGTAAGTGTTTGTCAGGTGGGAAGCAGAACATTTAAATATGGGCGTGTCTACAGAAATGATGTTGAGAAGACCTCCTACACCTGACGTTGTCAAATATAATTGTTTGCCTTTATTTAGCCTTAATGACATTATTGTATTGCATTTAATTTCTAAAATCACTTCTGGGAAAAGTTCAAATGAGCTGATGCTGCATTATTGGCTTTTTGTAGAGTCAAAGTCCAACCTGAATAATGATTTTCCCTTTCGAAGTTATTTACTCCACAGGATTCATGCATAATATTGCTTTAAACAATATGCATGAATCCATTTAAGTATTTTTGTGTTGATATGTTTTCTTTTTTATTCTTCATAGTTTCTTTCTGAGTGCTTGCGACGCTCATTTCTGATCCAGAATCTCATATTTTAGTTGAAATTAGAAGAGAATCGTGTTTATTATTTTCTAGAATTAAAAATGTGTTTCAATATGTTAAAAAATTCATACTTGAACATTTCAAATTGCAGAACAAAGAATTGTAAAAAAAACAAACATAATTTTAAGGTTCACCATAGAAATGGACTTGAATAAAACTATTCTGTGATGATTTTCAGTGCATCTCCCATTTTCTAATTAAAATATATATTTTACTTACTTTATTTGGGTGAATTTAATCATTTCTGCAGTGAGAAGTTTTACTGAACAAAAACATTTATTCCATAATTTTTTTTATTCTTTCTTTTAATTAATTCATGTAGGATCAATAAAGTATTTTTTATTTTAATTCATGTTTGTTTTTAATTGATTTCTTTGGGATAAATAAAATATTTTTGAATTGAATTTAATCATATCTAAACCAAACGTCAGTTACATTTCGCTGTTCTAAAAAAACTTCTGATTTAAACTGTTTACAAGTGGAAATTATCCTCATTTAAAATGTTTTTAACATCCACCATTAACTTAAATTGAAAACATTCATTTTGAGTTTTTTACCCCCACTGTCACCCTTTGGCCCCCCTTACAGAGTTTTCTGGATACACCCCTGGAAGCAGATTTTTCATAAAGTTTTTATTATCACAGCTTTCACTTTATCTGGAAATGTGATGAAATATGTGCTGCTGGAGTAACATGTTAAGTTTTAAAGTGAATAAAGTGCATCTGTAATACTTGTGTAAAATGAGGACAGGAAGTTGGAAGTTGTTTTTATTTGACATATATTGCAAATAGTTTTTAACACGTTGGGATGTTTGAATAGTTATTGTTGAGCACCAACAATAATTACTCATTAGTTCAGCTGCTTATTTTATAGATATATATATATATAAATATACACATTTTCCTCAGACTCAAATATCAGCAGAATGAAAATGTCCACAGTTAGTTTTACAGTCTATTGATGCTGCAATGGATGGAGGAAAAACTACAGGTAGAAACAGACTTTTTGCATGAAATCTTACAAAAATAATACATATACGAAAAACAATCCTCAAGTATTTACAGGAGGTTTCAGAAAGAGTCCGTTCACTTCTTTTTGGAAGTCTTCGCAGCCTTCTTGGGAGTCTTGGCCTTGGACTTGGCCGTCTTCTTCACTGGTTTCGCCTTGGCTTTGGCCGCTTTGGGTTTCTTCACTGGCGCTTTCTTGCTCTTCGCAGGTGTCGCCTTCTTCGCGACCTTTTTCACTTTCTTGACGGCCTTCTTGGGTTTCTCGGGCGTCTTGGTCACCTTCTTGGGCTTGGCCGCCTTCTTGGGTTTGGGCTTGGCCACCTTTTTGGGCTTGGCGGCGGCCGGCGCCTTGGCGGGGGGCTTTTTGGAGTCCTCCGGCTTGGTGAGCCGGAACGACCCGGACGCGCCGATGCCTTTGGTGTGGCGCAGCATCCCGGACGCCACCAGCCTCTTCAGGGCCATCTTGATCTGGACGTCGGCGTTGTCGCCCACTTTGTAGTTCTTCCTCACGTACTTCTGGATGGACTGGCGGGACGCGCCGCTCCGACTCGCGTCGTTAACAATAGCCGCTTTGATCATGTCCGAGTACTTTGGATGCGACGCGGGTTTCTTTGGTTTCGACGCCCGTTTGGCTTTGGCTGGAGCGGCCGACGTCTCTGCCATGGTGGCTCCTTCAATTCTCCTTTTAAAAATAAAGTTGATCAAAAACTCTTGGAGGTGTAATTTCCCCGCCGCTTTTGAACGCCTCACCGGGAGGAAAAACAAAACAATGCGAACCAGAGAATGTGGAAACAAAACGCCAGAAAAAGCAGTTTCGGCTCAAGTGTCCAAAAATTCAAAAAGTGCGTCTTCGGCGTCCGGGTTCACTTTCAGTGTCTTATTCCACAGGCTCCATTGAGCCTATGAAGCCTATCTGCGGACGTGATTGAAAACACCAACTGCCAGCAGCTGATCTAGCGGACTCCATGGAACTGGCGCCGTCCCGTTTGTGTTTCTTCATCCTCCATCTGCGGTCAAATATAAAAGCCACGCGTCCCCCGCCGGCCGCCGGACGCGCCGGCCCGGTGCTGGACACATCCGGCTTGCCGTCCGCCGCCTCGGCCGCCGCCGTTTCCACCGGAGAACAACTTTTATTCCGGGAAAACCCGCTGGAAGTAACGCGCGCCGCCAACAATTTTGCCCAATTCCCGTCAAATTGACCCGAACAGACGGAACCATGCGGGATGACACGCAACGCACATTAAAACCCAATCTTTAACTGATCGGATGCGTGAAGTTCCCACTGCGCAGGTTTCCGTTTATGCTTTTAATACTTCGATACGTTTTCCCAACTAACACAGCCCGGCCATTGACTTTGAATGACGTGTTCGAGATTATTTGCTGTTAAACCCGCAATAAATCAAATGTCACGACCTGGAAGCCGCAGGTGACAGCAGGGCCTTCATCCGGGTTTCATGCGGGGCGCAGTGCAACCTTTGTGTTTGCGTTATTTCTCGCTTTTGCGCCAGATTTGCTTATAACTGTCACTACGGCAGGCGCCTCTGCAGCTCCATTATGAGGAAAGTTGCCAGCGCCACAAACATCAGGTGAAGTTAAAAGCTGCTGGTTCGGGTTGTGACGTGTTTTTACTGGGATCAGAACCGGTGGAGGGGCAAAAGGGGGGGTCACTTCAGGTGCGGGACCGGCTGCGTGCGAGGGGAGGGTGCGGGGTTTGCAGGCTGGCGCTGGAACCAAAGTCCTTGATGCGGGGCGCAGAGATGACGGCTGTCTTTTGTTCAGTCGCTGCCGCATCAGAAGCCAATCATCTCATCCTGTCCTGGTTTCGGTCCTCATTATGACCCAAAACGCATCGATTTGCAGTCATCATAAAGTTTCAGCTCTTTACGCAGCTTTATTTCTTATTTTACAGATTTGCGCTGGTGTCTGTCGCCGAAACGCCATTTTGATTCAGACTCCATTCAGATGATTCCTCCGACTTTTCTCCGTATTGATGAAGTTACTGGAGCTGCGGTTCGGATGGCGACCCAGTTTCCACATCCACAATCCGGACCGATGCAGGATCCAGATCCACATCCCATCTCATCCTGTTGATGTCACCTGAAACCTTTTGTTGTTGTTTTGTTTATGTGAGGCTGTTTGTTTGTTTATTGCTCAGATCAGTTTTATGCATAGGCTACATACATTTAAAGGTAGAAAAAAAAAACATAAAATAAAGAGGCGCGTTGTTTATTACTGCTGCTCTGGAAACTCAGATCTGCTGGGAATAAATCCTTTATTGATCACCATCTAAATCATTCATTCATTCATTCATTCATTTGGTGGTAAATGAAGGGGAGTGAGGACAGATTTGGACCTCCTCCCTATAAATGGGTCTGGTTCTGATATGAACTATTAAAACTATTAACCGGATAATATGATGTAATAATTAACCCGCCATGCTGCTTTAATGTGCTGGAAATTATAGGTTGAAATCTCATTTTTATAACTTTATTGCATAATTTGTTGACTGTTTATCAGGTTGAAATGTTTTATTTATTCCACAAAATGAAGCGTTTATCGCTACAAGAAGATAAAAGAATAAAAAACTAAACTTACAGCCTCTGGACTTTTTCTGTCCAGCGGGCCAATCAGCGAACAGATAGAGAAGCGGTGAATGATTACGTCATTTTCTAGTCTAGTTTTAGTCATGGCGGCAGCGACGGAAGTGAACTGGGCCGTTCATTCACAACAGCCATCTTGGTTGTTCGTCTCTCAGGCAACTTCCGGTAAGCTTCATAGCGTCAAACTTACATATAGCACGAGCAAAACGTTAGCAATTAGCAAACATTGTTGGAAAGCCAGAGACAAACCGTCTGGCTGCTTTTTACCAGGATGGGTCCTTTTCTATTGAAAGGAAAATATCTGCCAACGTTAGCCTGTGCTAAGGCTCGTTAGCAAAGCCACGGGCAAACGGCTTTTCTGTAACTAGCTAAATATTAGCACATTTAGCTAAATATACAAATATTTGCCACATTTAGATAACCTTTCTCAATATTTAGGTGAAGAACATTCAGTTAACTTTCTCAACATTTAGCTAAATATTTTCTAAATGTGCTACTTTTTAGCGCTTTTAGCTAGCCTGGTTTCCTACCTGTGATTTGATTTTGGCCAGTAGCTTCATTAGCAGCTCAGGGAGGAAGTAGACGAGATCCATCATTTCAGATTATGTGTCTGAAATCACAACATGGTGGCAGAACAGGGGAGTGTTGTAAATTTTGTTTATTATATAATTTGACTGTTTTCCTCTGCAGTTTATATCTCCAGGTAAATTAAAGGTAAAATAATTGGGATGTCGTTAAATCTCTAGCAGATTTTATCATCAGTTTTAAAAATGACTCAATCCACCATGTCTATGCAGGGGCGGTCCAACTCTTTTTGGTTCCCTGGGCGAACATCCTGTCCATCCCCCCTCTAAATGACCTTGTACTAACAAAGACACTCAAAAAATAATTTTTTTAGTTTGAAAAATGTGGAACAAATTAGAATACAATAAACACGCATTGAAAGACAAACATACTCTATGCCATGAAGTTAAAAGTATACAATGCAAAAGGTGCCACCCTGTGTATGATAAATAATATATTTTTAATTTATTTATTTATTCAGTTATGTTATGTGACTTCCATTTTAGCCCTAATTAAGGCTACAGTTTGTAATTTTTATTAAAAACAAAAAAAAAAATTATTTTTATATACATGTGTAAATATCTGTTGAAACTGAATGTTTTGATAGTTTAGTGTGAGACAGATAATCAATGGAAAATATTAGGGTTGTCTGCTTTCTTCCAGTGTTAACAGGAAAACCAATCAGAGCCAAGATGAGGGTCTTAGTGTTGTCAATCATATTTGTGTACTTGCTGCTCACAGCCTCCTCCTTGCGCTCTGCTACGCTGCAGCTTCTTCCAGATAGCAGACAATGCTATGAATTCTAAAGCTAATTACACTGGAAAAAGAAACCAGGTGTTCCAACTTTAAAAAATGTAGTTTGTAACAAGTAATCAAATTAACTTTATCCAAAGCAAATATACTGCATTTGTCATGTCAAAAAAGTAAATAAATTAAGAGAGACAAACTTAATTTGATTACATGTAAAGAATTAACTCCTTTTTTCAGGTGGAACTCCATTGTCTTTCCTTCTCTGAAGCATGGCCGCCGTTGAAGGATGGTAAATGGTTTTC